CCTTAAAGACTTGTTTTGACTTACTTACTTCTAAGCTTGACTTCACTTGACTTGGAAACTAACTTCACTTGACTTTGAAACTAACTTCACTTGACTTGGAAACTAACTTCATTTGACTTTGAAACTAACTTCACTTGACTTGGAAACTAACTTCACTTGATTTGGAAACTAACTTCACTTGACTTTGAAACTAACTTCACTTGACTTGGAAACTAACTTCACTTGACTTTGAAACTAACTTCACTTGACTTGTAGTTTTTACTTGACTTTTGGAAGTACCTTGGAGTGTTGGAAACAACTAGGAAACATAGGTATAATACCTAGGAACATGTATAAAAAAAGAAATGGTGAATGAAAGGGAAGGATTGGTGTCCTTGGCACTAGGAGAGGTGCAACAGCCCAGCCCCTTTTTCCCCAAAAATCCGACTTTTTCCCCTTGTTTCTTTCCAATTCTAAACCCTCTCAACCTCAAGGTTTCAGCAGCAACACTTAGAATCATAAAGACCCTTATTATACAATAGATTCAACTCAAAAATCACAGCCAGAAATCTGTACTAAATCAGCAAGAACTTCAACACAACACCACTACAACTTCAACAACCAATAAATCTTCTCTTGGAATTAAAAACGAGTTGGTGTGTGGGGGTATGAACCAACCAACACTAAGGATCATAAAATCCCTCAATATACAATAGGTCACAACTCAAATACACAGCCCAATCCTGTCCCACAACCAACAATAACTTCAACAACACAACTAACAACATCAACAACAACTAACAACTTCAACAACAAATCCAATCTCTTCTCAAATCATAAAAACGAGCTTGGTATGTGGGGGGAAAGGATAAACCCACACTAAAGACTCACATACCTGATTAGGGATCACCCCCGACAAAAATCCACGACGATCCTTAGCTTCTTCTTCTCTTTCTCCTCTTCTTTTCCTCTTCTTTCTCTCTTATCTTCCAAGCCCTAACTCTCACTCTTACTCTCACTCTTTAAAATGGGACAAAAATGATCCAAACATCAGTCTAACACCTCAATATAACCCAAAGAAAAGATTAGGGAAAAGACCAAAATACCCTTAAAATTTTCGGACTAAACAAACTGCACTGTGCGACTGTGCGACTGTGCCAACAACCCAACTTCCAAAGGGCATAAGTCACTCATACGAACTCGGAATCAAGCAAACTCGGCGGCGTTGGAAAGATCATTCCAAGGGATTTCCAGAAATAACTGGAAATTCGCCTAAATCATTTTGAGCTAGGAGATACGACTGCTCAAAGTTGACCAAAAACTCACCTTTTTTCCATAGCCAAATTTTCCAGATTCTTTCCAAAATGACTATTTCCAATTCAACTCTTCTTGGAACTCAATGTGCTACACCTAGGGACCTTAACTTAACACTCAAGAAATTTTTTATTCCTCGGTAAAATCCCACTCCACATGAAGGATGGCTCGAGTCTTAGTTCGAAAATTCTCTGGGGTGTTACAGTATGTTTCTTCTACTGTCTATATTTTGAACAGGCTTTCTTCAAGGTTACTTGGGTTTCAGTCTCCATATGAGAAATTATATATGCATCCTCCATCCTTATCTCATCTAAGGGTGTTTGGGTGTCTTTGTTATGTTGCATGTCCTAGAGTATTGGACAAGTTCTCCTCTAGAGCCATCTATGTTGTGTTTATGGGGTATTCTTCAACACATAAAGTCTATATATTATTTGATCTCCATGCTCATTCCTTTTTTGTAAGCAGACATATGGTATTTCAAGAACACATATTTCCTTTCAAGCATGTACAAGAATCATCCAATCCTATATTTCCAGTCATAGACCTACTGGTGCCCCCATGATAACACTGCATGTGTCTCACCAGCTGATGATTGTGTCCCACCAACTAATAGTTCTTTCACTGTTGATCCTTGTCCAGTATCTTCAGTTCAGTCACCACTGGCTACTCTACCTGTTCCCACCAGAAAATCTAGCAGACCCAACAAGCCTCCTCTGTGGCTGCAAGATTTTGTTACTCAACCTAAAGGCAATACATATTCCTATCCTATTGTTGATTAGCTTTCATATTCACATTTATCTCAGTCCTACCAACATGTTCTTCAAGCATACTCAGCTCTGTGTGAGCCTGTATCTTTTCACCAGGCTGTTGTTGATCCTGCTTGGGTCAAGGCAATGCAGTTGGAGATTGATGCATTAGAAAGCAATCACACGTGGACTATTGTGGATTTACCACCTGACAAGAGGCCTATTGGGTGTAGGTGGATTTACAAGATCAAATACCTATCATCAGGAGCTGTGGAAAGATTTAAAGCAAGATTTGTTGCACAGGGGTTCAGTCAGAAGGAAGGTCTTGACTATGGAGAAACTTTCAGTCATGTTGCAAAAAATGGTGGCTGTTAGATCTATTGTGGCTCTTGCAGCATCTAAAGGTTGGTATATCTATCAGATGGATGTTCATAATGCCTTCCTCAATGGTGATCTTCTTGAGGAGGTCTATATGGTTATTCCTAGTGGGTTTGCCAGACATGGGGAGACTCACAAGGTCTACAAACTACATAAGTCCTTATATGGACTTAAGCAGGCACCAAGGCAATGGAATATGAAGCTGACAGAAGCCTTGGTAGATATGGGGTTCAAGCAGAGTCATTATGACTATTCATTGTATACTAAGCACACTGAAAATGGCATTGTTTTGGTATTGGTCTATGTAGATGATCTGCTCATAACTGGGAACAATCAACAACTCTTATGTAACACTAGACTGGATATTCAGAAAATGTTCAAAATGAAAGATTTGGGAGAGTTAAAGTTCTTTTTGGGAATTGAGTTCTCCAGGTCCAACAAAGGCATACTCATGTCACAAAGAAAGTATGCATTAGAATTGATATCTGAGTCTGGCCTAAGAGGAGCAAAACCAGCCTGTACACATTTAGAGATGAATCAAAAGCTCACATCAGTTCAATATGATGAGCATATCAATGAAGGGATAGCTGAATGAGACAATATACTAACAGACACTACAAAATATTAAAGACTGGTAGGAAGGCTCTTATATCTCACTATGACAAGACTAGATATTTCATTCTCAGTACAAGTCTTGAGTCAATTCATGTATTGTCCTAAACAGTCACACATGAATGCAGCTCTTAGAGTAGTTAGATACATCAAAGAAGCACCTGGATTAGGTTTGTTAATGCCTGCAGCAAACACTTCTAAACTTACAGCTTACTGTGACTCTGACTAGGGAGCATGTTTGGAAACTAGGAGATCAGTTATAGGATACGTGGTTAAATTTGGAGAAGGACTTCTTGGAAATCAAAGAAACATGAGACAGTTTCAAGGAGCTTAGCTGAAGCTGAGTTCAGGAGCATGGCAGCATGTACAACTGAAATAACATGGTTGATAGGATTATACAAAGAGTTGGGGATCAAGATAACCACACCAGTAATTATGATTTGTGATAGCAAGGCAGCCATCCAGATTGCAGCTAACCCAATCTTTCATAAGAGAAAAAAAACACTTTGACATTAATTGTCATTTTGTTAGAGAAAGAATCTGCCAAGGCATGCTGAAAACTCAACACATAAACACTAAGGATCAACTGGCTGATCTACTAACTAAAAGTCTGGCAAGATACAACACACCAACTTGTTCAGCAAATTTGGAATGAAGAATGTGTTTCAACCATAAAGCTTGAGGGGGAGTGTTGATCAGCTTAGGTGATTGAACAAGTTGTATGGTGTGAGTCAGTTAAAGTTGTTAGGAAAGTTCTAGAAGCTTCTATAGTTAGTTAAGAAAGTAGTTACAATACAATAGTCTATAAATAGATATTGAACTACAATGTAAAGGCTAACTTTCAATGTAACAGAAAATTCATTGAACTCAATAAGATGCTCTCTTCTCTTCTCTTCTACTCTGTATACTTTCAACCTCTATTAATGGTGTTTTCAGCGTTGCACCATCATAAGAACTTGGAAAGATGGACGTGATCAGATATATAGCAGACATAATCATTCCTCTGCTAAAACCAAAGTTCCAAAAAAGTTGATCAAGAACAATCCTTTTCTGCCTTCCTTTACATTTGAAGAAGAGAGAAAACATGTTTGTTTATTGTTTTATCCTTTATAACCTGATTACTGTGTTTTCGCACAAGGAATACAATTTCAGAGTGTTCAAAGAATGAAAAAAGTTTCATATTAGTGGTTAATGAGATAACAAGAGGGGTACGCTCAAAACCTAATTTAAGATGAGCTTCAATTTGTAACTATTGTTTCTTCCAGCAGAAAAGATGATTTTTGCACCAGTTAGACCAGACAGATTCAAATTGTTTTGTTTCTAAAAACATATGTCCACTTTATAAAAGAAATGATTGTCATTAGTAACTATTGGAGAATCATGTCATTCGCCTATTAAGTATTTCCATCAGAGGCATATATCATATTGAAAATCATTTCCAAATATAAAATAAAAATTGTAAGTTTTTACAAAAAAAAATGTTTTAAAAAAAAACTAAAATCGTAAGTTTCAAAATATTGCTTTATTGTTAAAAATTGTTAGTTAAAAAAACATAAATAACCGTAAGTTTCTAAATATTGTTACATTGTTGGATATGGTAAGTTACTAAATATTAGTTTTCCGAAGTTAATACCAATTGGGTTTTCTGTTATCTAATTGTACTTTTTAAAAATTAGCTCAAAAAACTATAGTATTTGATAATTAGCTAATGATTTATTTAAACTGATAATTATATTAACTACACACCTGACGGATTACAGCGGTAAGTTTCTAAATAATTATTTTCCTAATTTGTTACCAATGGGTTTCCGATCAAGCCAAGAATTGACTAACTATAATCATACTTGATTCGTACAATTGTTCCCATTCCCTTCAACCTTATTACTTTTTGTTGTATAAAATATACCTCTCAGCCCCCATATAAACTCTGTTCCATCTTTGAAAAATATATATCATATACAAGAAAGAGTGATGGAGTTTGAAGAAGAAGGGTATCGATTTCATCCAAGAGATTCAGAGTTATTCACATACCTTCTTAGGTTTATCGCTCAAAAAGATTTGTGTGACAATGGTTTTATTACGGAGTGTGATGTTTACAAACAAGAACCTTTGGTAACTTATGGCGATGTCGATACTAATATTTTTCGATACTTTATTTCCCCGAGGCATAAGAAAAATAAAAGTGATAAGAGATTTTGCAGAGTTGTAGGTAATAATCTTGGGACTTGGAAACAGCAAGATAAGGGGAAATGGGTTAGGAGTAAACAGAGCAAGCCTTTGAATATGGGACGCAAGAAGAGTCTCAATTATGATACTAAGATGTGTTGTCCCGATGATGGAAAGTGGCTCATGAAGGAATATGTTTTTTGCGAAGCTATTCTTAAAAAGTTCAAAAACTCTAATTTTAGAGATTATTGTATTTGTGCTATAAAAATGAAAAATTCTGCTAATACTTCTCAAAGTAGTAATGTGAGTACAGCTGTTGTGGATTTTTCTGATGAACAGAAGTTGGATACAGAGGTGTTTTCAGGGGTAAATTCTGTTGAGCAGCGGATGGATCAGGAATATAAGGCGATCACTCCTATCAATATTGTTGAACCAGTGTTGCAAATTCAAGAGTCTTCATCAGATGAAGAGAAGATCAATGCTCTTCAAGAACCAGTGTTGCAAATTCAAGAGTCTTCATCAGATGAAGAGAAGATCGATGCTCTTCAAGAACCAGTGTTGCAAATTCAAGAGTCTTCATCAGATGAGAGAAAATCAATGCTCTATTAGAATCTAATGATCCTGAACTAACGCAAATGTGGAATGAGGACTATGGGATGATCAATCATCCTATCAATGTCGTTGAAAATCCAGCGATGGAAGTTGATGATGTTGAGGTGCAAATTCAAGAAGCTGCTGGTGAAGGAAATGGTGTTTTGGAATTTGAGAACACAATACCAGAAAATAATCTGCCTAAGGAACCAGCACACCTGCAGCAAGGTTTTATTGTTGGTGTAAATGAGGACTGTAATGCATATTCGGAACTTCAAACCAATAATACAAGCTTTGTTGGACTACTAACTGGTTGTGGGGACTCTTCAATCAGGAACAATTGGGAGCTAAATAATTTTTCACCAATTCAAGAACCTATGATTCCTGACTTTGCGAATGTCAAGTCAAATATAACTATGCCTGAAACATATGGTACTTTGGCTGAATATATGGATGCCGATGTATTGATGAATCCGGACAATAAGCTGATCAATGCTTTTGATTTTTCTAAACAAGCAATAGTAGAATCTAATCAACATCAGGAGCAGATCACTCAAAAGGCTGCTGGTGAAGCGAATGGTCTGTTGGGGCAAACTGTGCCTTTATTTCAAATTCAAGAATTTGTGATGCCAGAAAATAACGTGCCTGAAATGTTCGATATGGGTTACACATTGTCGGAGAAGAGTCAGACACAACATCAACTAAAACCACAAGAAGAATCTATGACACTTTGTGAAACAGAAAAATCCAATTTTGTTGATGACCTTACAGAAGCCTTGTTAGATGATGTGCCTCTGAATGATAGATTGGATGCAAATAGGGAGATTACGAGTACATTATTGCTGGACCAACAATCTTGGCAGTCTAACGCGCATTTACAAGATTTGCTGCTCTGAAGAATTGGTACTACTTGGACAGTTTTAGCTAATTTTGTGGACAATACTAACTAGCTAGGATCAGTTTTTGAAACAATATCCGGAGTTTTTGTGCTCTGCTTCTTAGTCCTTTTGGTTGATTTCTTATAGTTTATATAAATTCTATTTGTCCAACTTTCGTGTTCAATTTCTAATTTTGACAAAGAAACTGTTGTTATTATAAGCTTGATTACTTGTTACAAAAGTTCATACAGTCCCCCCTAAATGATAAATGGGCACAAGCATTGGATACAAGGGAAAACACTCTCTAATTTATTTCACAATTCTATAAATAAGACTAAATTTATGTTAATTAGCCTCGAATAATGATTCTATATTAGTTCCTTGCGGACACTAACAAGACCACCTAATTGGTTATTGTTAGTGTGACATTTTAATATTATAAAATATTTTAAATTTTGCAATATTCTGCATAGTCACACAGATATTGATTTCTGGCCGTTGGTTGACTTCTCACTTTTCATAGGTTACAAAATGTTGGATGTAATAACAATCATAATTGTTGCATTACTGTTCAGCATTACTCCAAATGGAGTTAGTGCATATGTTACAAACTTTTTGGTGCAGCAGCAAGCCGTTGGTGGCTTAGTGATTCATTATTCCATTCTTTACTCCTCCATTATCCATGTAACCTATGCAACTCCTAAGGCTATTATCTTCACTATTTACTACACCATTATCTTCCTATTCATTGCTAGGAAGACTTCTTCTAGTATATATAGTGGTGATCTTCATTTGGTTTGTGACACACAATACAACAAGAAAATATAGAGTGTATAAGGTTTGTCAAAAAGAGAGTTCTTATTAGTTGAAGGGAGGTGTTCTTTTTTTGTGGAGCTTTGGACTCAACTCTTGTCCAGATTTGTTGAGTTATACTTTGTGAAGGTTGTTGTATCCTGGAGGGGACAAGTCAAGAGGACTACTGCTGGACCGGTGAAAACATTTGCTGCAGTGGGCTTGAATCTCCTTAAAGAGAGGGAGATATCCGCGCTTCAGCATGAAGAGATTTATTTCTTCATTTTTATTTTCAATTGTAATCTTGTATTTTTGTTATCTTGTAAGTTTTTCACTAACAATTTTAAGGAGATTCAACATGGCTACAATTGAAAAAACCGCGGATGTCAAGATGGGAGACCTTAACAAGCCATTTCGGTTCAATGGTAACCATTTTAAGAGATGGAAGGGTAAAGTACTTTTCTACTTGAGTCTTCTCAATGTTTCTTACGTGTTAACTGAGAAGAATCCTAATAAAGTAGACATCACCTCTATGAATGATGATGAAACTATTTCTCATCTAGAGAAAGTGGAAAAGTACGATGGTGATTCCTATAAGTGTCGGTATTATATTCTTAATTGTCTATCTGATAATTTTTATGATTATTATGATAGAACTTTCTCTAGTGCAAAGAAAATTTGGAAAGCGTTGCAAAGTAAGTATGATACTGAAGAGGCTGGAGCGAAAAAATATGCGGCTAGTAGATTTTTTCGTTTCCAAATGGTGGACAACAAATCAGTGGTAGACCAAGCTCAAGACTTTATAATGATTGTTGGAGAGCTAAGGTCCGAGGAGATAAAAATTGGAGATAACCTTATTGTTTGTGGCATAGTAGATAAACTTCCACCTTCTTGGAAGGAATTTCAAAAACTATGCGCCTCAAACAAAAGGAAACCTCTCTTGAAACCTTGATAATGAAAATCCGCATGGAAGAAGAGGCAAGGGGCCAAGATGCACTTTTACAAACAGAAGAGAACAACATCACAACGAAGGTAAATTTAATTACTTCAAATAATGCTACTCCTGAAACTCACAAAAATACTTCTTTGAAGCCTAAGAAGAAAAAATTCAAGAAAAATAATGGTGAAAATAACCAAGCACAAAATCAACAAGTTCAAGACAAAGGACCGTGCTTTGTTTGTGGCAAGAGTGGGCATATTGCTCGATTTTGCAGATTCCGGAAACGTGGTCCTAACCCTCAGGCAAACATTACCGAAGAACCTTTTGTGGCGGTGATTACCGACATAAACATGGTTGAGAATGTTAATGGATGGTGGGCTGATTCTGGTGCAAACCGTCATGTCTGTCATGACAAAGACTGGTTTAAGAAATATACTCATTTTGAGGAGCCCAAAACCATCATGCTTGGTGATGCTCACACCACTCAAGTGCTTGGAAAGGGAGATGTCGAATTGTGTTTTACTTCTAGAAGGGTATTAACTTTGAAAGATGTACTTTATACTCCTTCAATGAGGAAAAATTTGATGTCTAGTTTTCTTCTTAATAAAGCAGGCTTTAAACAGATTATTGAGTCTAATCAATATGTAATAGTGAAGAAGGGTATTTTTGTGGGAAAGGGGTATGCATGTGATGAGATGTTCAAATTGAATGTTGAAATGAATAAAACTTCTACTTCTGTTTACATGCTTTCTTCTACCAATTTTTGGCATGCTCGTTTTTGTCATATTAATGATCGTTATGTTGGAATCATGAGTAGTTTAGGATTAATTCCAATGATTAAAAAGAATTTTGAAAAGTGTGAGGCTTGTAGTAAAGCCAAAATCACTAAAAGGCCTCATTTTCAAGTTGAAAGAAAAACTGATTTGTTAGAATTAGTTCATACTGATATTTGTGAACTTGGTGGAATTTTAACTCGTGGAAGTAATAGATATTTTATCACTTTCATTGATGATTTTTCTAAGTTTACATATGTTTACTTGATGAAAAATAAAAGTGATGCTTTTGAAAATTTTCAAAACTTATCTCCATGAGGTTGAAAATCAGTTTGGAAGAAAAATAAAAAGAATTAGAAGTGATAGAGGCCGTGAATATGAGTTTAATAAGTTTAATTCTTTTGTCAGATCATTGGGAATAATTCATGAAACGAGTTTAATTCTTTTGTCAGATCATTGGGAATAATTCATGAAACTACTCCTCCTTACTCTCCTTCATCTAATGGAGTAGCGGAAAGGAAAAATAGAACTTTGGTTGAATTGACTAATGCGATGCTTATTGAGTCACATGCACCTTTAAATTTTTGGGGTGAAGCTATTTTAACTGCTTGTTATGTGTTGAATCGTGTGCCTCATAAAAAGTCTAAATTGACACCTTTTGAATTGTGGAAAGGTTACAAGCCAAGTTTGGGATATCTAAGAGTTTGGGGTTGTCTAGCCTTTGTGAGGCTAATGGATCCCAAGATTACAAAGTTGGGTAAGAAAGTTACTACTTGTGTTTTTCTTGGTTATGCTTCAAATAGTACAGCCTATAGATTTTTTAATCTTGAAGATAATATTGTGATAGAATCAGGTAATGTATTTTTCATGAAAATAAGTTTCCTTTTGATTCTAAAAATAGTGGGGGTCAAAGGATTGAACAAAATATTTTGTCACTACCTAGTTCTTCTACTTCTACTTTGAAAAATAAAGAAGTTGATGATTTTGAGTTAAGAAGAAGTAAAAGAGCTAGAGTAAAAAAAGATTTTGGTCCTGATTTTTATGTGTTTAATGTTGGAGATGACCCTCTTACTTTGAAAGAAGCATTATCTTCACATGATTCTATTTTTTGGAAAGAGGCTGTAAATGATGAAATAGAATCACTAATTTCTAATAAAACTTGGAAACTAGTTGATTTACCACCGGGTTGTAAAACAATTGGTTGCAAATGGGTCTTAAGAAAAAAGTTGAAACCGGATGGTTCTATTGATAAATATAAGGCTAGACTAGTTGCAAAAGGTTTTAAACAACTAGAAGGCCTAGAATTTTTTGATACTTTTTCACCGGTAACAAGAATTACATCCATAAGACTTTTAATTGCTATGGCTGCAATTTTTGATTTGCAAATTCATCAAATGGATGTAAAAACTGCTTTTTTAAATGGAGACCTAAATGAGGAAATTTATATGGATCAACCCAAGTTTTTTGTTGAAGCAGGCCAAGAAAGCAAAGTATGTAAACTTACTAAATCCCTATATGGCTTGAAAAAGGCACCTAAGCAATGGCATGAAAAGTTTGATTCTTGCATGATTGAAAATGGTTTTAAAACAAATGAGTGTGATAAGTGCATATATCTTAAGTCTTGGAATAATTCACATGTGATTATTTGCCTATATGTTGATGATTTATTGATCTTTGGCTCTAACATGAATGTTATTGATGAAGCTAAGAATATTCTTAGAAGCCATTTTGATATGAAAGATCTTGGTGAGGCAAATGTTATTCTTGGAATAAAAATTACAAGAACATGTGATGGAATTTTCCTTGACCAGTCACATTATGTTGAGAAAATATTGAAAAAATATAACTTTCTTGATTGCAAGCATGTTGCAACTCCTTTTGACTCAAGTGTTCACTTATTTCCTATTGAAAGTGAAAATGATGTAATAAATCAAAAGGAATATGCTGGCATAATCGGAAGTTTGAGGTATGTGACTGATTGCACTAGGCCTGATATTGCATATGCAGTAGGAGTACTTGGCAGGTTTACAAGCAAGCCAGGTAATGAACATTGGCATGCTATAACAAGAGTTATGAAATATTTAATTGGAACAAAAAATTGTGGTTTGTTCTATAAAAAATATCCTGTTGTACTTGAAGGCTTTTGTGATGCAGATTGGAACACTTTATCAGATGATTCCTGTTCTACCACTGGTTATGTCTTTACTTTAGGTGGTGGTGCTGTTTGTTGGAGATCAAAAAAGCAAACTATTATTGCTAACTCTACCATGGAGGCTGAACTAATTGCTTTAGCTTCAGCTAGTGAGGAAGCGAATTGGTTAAGAGATTTATTATTTCAAATACCTTATTTTGAAAAACCAATTTCTCCTATTTTAATTCATTGTGATAGCACCGCTGCGATTGGTAGAGTTCAAAACCGTTATTACAACGGTAAATCCAGACCTATAAGGAGGAAACACAGTAATGTAAGATCATATTTGACAAATGGTACCATTAATGTTGATTATATCAAA